AAGCCGAATCTGAGCGCCGAGACAGGCGCGAGACGCCCGGCGCACCTCGCCGCCGCGACGCGGAAGGTCCCCATCCCGTCCGGAGGAATGCCCGAGGCGGCCGAGCCCCAGAGCGCCTTGGCCAGGGGGCCTGCGCGCGCGATGCGCAACTGGCGCAGCCCAGGCCCGAAGGTCCTGGGGCGCCGCGCCGCCTGCGTCAGTGCGTCGAGCTCGCGGGCGACTCGAGTCGCCACTCGGCGACGCCCCCCCGCTGCGGCGCCCCCTTCCGAGGTCGCGGTGGCCGAGCGCAACGGGCGACGGGGGGGGGCCCATCCCGGGCGGTCGAGCAAGGGCCTCTGTAGCTCCGCTGGCGACGCTGGCGGCTTCGTCTTGCCCTGGTTGGGCGGGGGCCTATTGTCCTCTGGCGCGGCGACCACCCCGTCCGCGAAGTTGGCCATCTGGCGGACAGGGGCGCCGCGGGGCCCGACGCCGCGGCCCGCTGCGTCGTTGATCACATGCCCCCCCCCCGCCGCCCGACGGGCAGCAAGGCGCGCCCGCCAATCGCCAGGTCGCGCAGCATGATACGCGCCGCGGCGGCGGCGCAGGCGCTGCCAGCGATGGCAGCCCCGCGCGCGGAGATGACATCACTTGCAGCCCGTTCGGCCGCGGGTCGCCTTGGCCCCGAGCAGGCCGCGCGCAGCGCTCGCGCCAGCCCTGCGCTAAAAACCTCGCCCCTCAGCGACGCGCCCGAGGATGTCGCGATCGATCCCCTCGCAGTACTTATCGCTGGCGAAGTAGACCGAAGCTCCATCGAATCCCGCGGCCCGCGACGGCCGAGGTTGAGGATGTGCAGTTCGGCCGCGCGGCCGCAGCTCGGGTTTCCAACTCTGGCCCCAGACCTCAGGCATCGCGCGGTCGGCCTCGCGCGGCGTCGCCGTCTGATGCGGCCCCAGATGCGCGTCCGCGCGCGCGTTGGCCCGATCGGCCGCGCCCCGCCATCCTGCCTCCCCCGCGCCGCGAGGACCTCGGCAGCGCGCGCGGCGGACGGGCGACCGAGGTTCGCGAGGAGCTTCGGGTGGAAAGCGTCTCAGCCAAGGGCCGTGCTCGTTGGGGAAGTCTTCGCGAACTCGAAGCCTCGTCCGCTGTGATCGCTTGGAACTTCACTGGGCACTCCCAGTCGGCTGGCCGCGCTGTCGGGCCGTGCCCAGGTCCGCTCCACAGGGCCTTCCACTCAACCAATATGCGATCCACCGCCTGCTGAGGGTGGGCGCCTCTTCGCGGTGGCCCTTCTTGATGGCCGCGCGGGCGCCTCGGCCGCCTCTGGCCAGGGCCTCGTCTACGAACTCCTTCCAGAGCTCCCTGCTGCGAAGCGCGCCCGCCTTGACGCGGGCCGCTGTCGCGGCCGGGATGGCTTCCTGGAACTACACACCTTGCCAGGATGCCTGCACCTCTGAGAGCATGGAGTTCATGCGCGCGCCGCTGAACATGCTGCAGTCCTGCTGGTCGAACAGTGGCACCAAAGAAAGGGCGGCGCGCTCGAGGTGCCGAACGCATGCGCCGTGGCCCGCAGGCCTGCAAACTGCCGCCCCCGCCGCCGCGAGCTGCCTCACCACTCGGCCCAGCGAGAACCACGGGCGGGTGAGCGGGCTCGTTGTCTCCGCTCGCTCGAGGTCGACCAGCGCTTGCGTGCCCGTCTGACCCCCTGCGCGCGCGAGGTGCTGCTCCGCTTCCAGGGCCGGGTCCTGCTCGGCGGCCGCGAAAATTATTCACTGCGTGGAGCTCCCCATATGTGCATCTATTCGCATGGAACTGTCCGCCGTGAATGTCTAGGCGCAAGAGCTTTCGAATACAGTTGTGACGGTCTGGTCATGAATCTAACTGAGAACGAATTGGAGTGTGAATGAGCCTCAGTAGTACGAGCGCGTCTCTGCGCATGAGCCTGGGTCCTCCTGGGGCCTCCTGGGGCCCCCTGAAACCTACTGGGGCTTCCTGGGGCCTCCAGGAGCCTCTTGGGGCCTCCTAGGGAGGATTCGTGCCCCAGGAGAGGCCCAATCTATAGCAACAAACGCACATAAAACATTGCGGATTGGAGCCACAGGAGAAGGGGGCAATCTATAGGAACACGCGTAAAACACAAAGATCTCGTGCCCCAGGAAAGGCCCTATAATATCATAAGTACACAGGAGAACGACAATGTATAGAAACATACGTATAACATCAAGGATTCGTCCTCCAGGTGGGGCCCAATCTATAGGAGCATGCGTAAAACACATGGGATTGGAGCCACTCCTGTTGCCTTCTGAAGCATCCTGCTCCTGGGGCCTCTCGGGGCCTCCTGCTGCCTTCCGTGACCTCCTGGCGTTTCCTCTGGCCTCCTCGGGCCTCCTGTGGCTTCCTGAAGCCTCCCGGAGCTTCCTGGGGCATCCTAAAGCCTCTTGGGACATCCTGTGGCCTCTTGAATCTGTCTGTGGCCTCCTGGTGCCTCCTGGGACCTCATTTGGTCTCCTGGGGCCTCCTGGAGCCTGTTGGAGCCTCCTGTGACATCCTGAAGAGAATATGTGCCCACGGGTCTGGCCACCGATCGAGACATCCTCAAAATCTGGCCCACCTGGGGGGGTGAAAATGAGCGCCTCGCTCGAGACATCCTCCAAATCTGTTCCGAAAGCGAAGGATGTTGGGACAGAAAACAAGCAAACTGCTTGAGACATCCCCACACAACGGCCGCGAACGGGACTGTGAGATAACCCCTGGCGCCTCCCCTTAGGGGGGTGAAAATGAGCGCCTCGCTCGAAACATCCTCCAAATCTGCTCCGAAAGCGAAGGATGTTGGAACAGAAAACAGGCAAAGCGCTTGAGACATCCCCACAAAACAGCCGCGAACGGGACCGTGAGATCACCCCTTAGGGGGAAATGAGCGCCTCGCTCGAGACATCCTCCAAATCTGCTCCGAAAGCGAAGGATCACAAAACGGCCGCGAACGGGACCGTGAGATAACCCCTGGCGGCTCCCCTCAGGAGGGTGAAAATGAGCGCCTCGGTCGAGACATCCTCCAAATCTGCTCCGAAAGCGAAGGATGTTGGGACAGAAAACAAGCAAACCGCTTGAGACATCCCAACAAAACGGCCGCGAACGGGACCGTGAGATAACCACTCGGCGGCTCCCCTTAGGGACATGAAGATGAGCGCCTCGCTCGAGACATCCTCCAAATCTGCTCCGAAAGCGAAGGATGGTGGGACAGAAAACAAGCAAACTGCTTGAGACATCCCCACACAACGGCCGCGAACGGGACCGTGAGATCACCCCTCGGCGGCTCTCCTTAGGGACGTGAAAATGAGCGCCTCGCTCCAAACATCCTCCAAATCTGCTCCGAAAGCGAAGGATTTTGGGACAGAAAACAGGCGAACCGCTTGAGACATCCTTACAAAACGGCCGCGAACGGGACAGTGAGATAACCCCTGGCGGCTCCCCTCAGGGGGAGCTGAAACCAGCGCCCCGCCTGAGACATCCTCACAATCTGCTCTGGTAGCCAAAGATGTTGGGACAGAAAACAAGCAAACCGCTTGAGGCATCCCCACAAAATGGCCGCGAACGGGGGTGCGTGAGTCTCACCATGAGTGAGTCTGAATAGGAGTAGGTCTGAGTATGAGTAGGTCTGAGTATGAATAATCTTGTGTGTGGGTAAGTCTGTGTCTGAATAAGTCTGCGTGTGAGTCAGTCTGTGTGTGAGTAAGTCTGGGTATGAGGAGGAGAGGGGAGGAGAAGAGGAAGAAGAAGGAGTAAGAGGCGTCCAAGTGATAACAAGAACCCCATCTTAGGATATGGGGAAGAACACAAACTGCTTCATCGGGATGGCCTGCCGAGTCCCGCAACGGTGCCTGCCACCTCGCTCCACTGGCCGCCTCGTCTGCTGCCTCCCTGGTCTCATCCTCAACCTCCGTGTTGACGTCAAACCGTCTTGGAGACTGCAAGACCCACGCCCGCGCCTGGGACCCTAGCTGGCCCAACGTCAAGCGAACCGGTGCATGCGGGTGGGCCGTGGTGGGGCGCAGCACTTCCACCAGGGGACTCAGGGCAGCCAGCGACGCCGAGATCATAAAGTAGTCGTTCGTGCGATCACCGCGCGTGGGGAGCGTAGGCGCGACCACCACCCCTCAAACAGCTCTGGGCCACTAGAATCCCTCGAGAATGTGGGGTTCCATGGTCCAGTCGGCGCCGACGATGAAAAAGGCTCGGAAAGCGCCCTGAAGAACAGCTGCATGTCTCCAAGTAGGTCAACGCTGAGTCCGTGAAGTCCAGCGGAGTGCTCCAGGTAGGCGCTGACCATGACGATAACCATGCTAGCCTCGCGTAGTGAGGGCCCCACTCCTACGGTGAGGGATTTGGATCAGGAGCCATTGGATAAGGAATCCAGGCTCTGGAAGCCGGTGGAACTCCAGCCTTGGATTGGCCATGGATGCCTCCGTCACCCTGATCAGATGAGGAATCCTCCGGGGTCTGAAGCCTCCTGGGCACATTCCCTAACCAACGCCCCCACAGTAACCGATATCGGTTTAAGGTGGCCTCCGATATGCTTCCACTAGGTCCCAAGATTGCCCTCGAGGTGGCCACGCAGCCTGTGTTACTAGGGATGCCCCCGAGAGGCCAACATCCTTCGAGAGCTAAACTTGTTAAAAGGGGTGTTGGCTTTAATGGGTTTTCGCTTCCGATGGGCTTATGATGGCTCAATATGACTCCACGACTGCCATTAGAGCTCCAAGAGGGGGCCCAGAAGAACTCCAAGATGGCCCCGAAGACCCCTCAAGAGCGTCCAAAGACGAGCCCCAAGAGACGGCTTTAGAACCTTCGTCTTGTTTGGTCGACGTTCCAAAGATGGTCCCAAGAGAACCGTACGGGCCTCCAAAACAGGCCCTAATGAACTCCAGGGCAGCTCACAAGAACCCTCAATAATGACAGCATTTCGCCTGCACATCGTTTCTGGATGGGCTGGCGGGGATACGCGCAGCACCAACAATTGCCAACCCGGTCCTCGCACATACACCTGGTCGAAGCAACACTCACAAAACTAAACCTGGCAACATTTTGCGCGCCAGCACGCTTCATAGGAACAGCTAGCTGCCGTGATGTGCCAAGAGCCTGGCCGTGGAAAGTGACAGGCCGAGGGGACGCTGTACACTCAGAGACGACATCCGAGATTTTGCTCCTGTCGGCATCGCCTCTAGGGCGGTTCGACGCTTTAGCGATACTGTTGCCCGCAACAGCGTCACTCGCGTGCGCACATGCGCAATGTATACAATGCAAAGTTGCTGCCCAGGATCCCTAGCGCTCGCACATGGCGACAGGCAGCCTAGACACTAGCATGTCGGAGCGAGCCGACCCGTGTCGCACGTAACACTCGACTAGAACTATTACGCCCGTCCCTCAGGCTTCTCATCGCAACCTGAAGTCAAAAGCGACACGCCCGGTACCTGGTTGACGTCGACGACACGCCTCGAAACTTGCCAGCGTGCGGGCCGACACGCCTTGAAACTTGAAATCACGCAAGCTGTGAACAAAAAACTTCTAACTCGTCTCCAGGCCAAGCCATGCTCCGCTGGGCACTTCCTTCGAGTTCGGCCGAGCAGGTTACCTATGCACACTGGGAATTCAAATGGTTTCCTCGACTCTGACAAACCGCCTCCTGACCTTCTCTGCCGATCTCCCCAAGCTTTGTCGCCTTGCTGCCCCCTCACCGCTGATCTCGAGCACGCCTAGAACTACAGCGGAGTCAGCGGACAGGAAGCTACACTGTGGAACCTCGAGTCTCGCAGCACTAAAGCACCTTAAAACGTCTCACCTGGAAAGCCCCACACTCTGGGGTTCCTTTCAGACCTGGGAGCTGGCGCCCGAGGTAGCTGTGCGTGCTTGGCCGAAGACGGTCCCCTTCCGGACGACGATCCCTTCACAAGGGACTCGTCTGAAGAATACGCATGACTAGTACCAAAAACACCACATACACGGCCACCGCCGCCAAAATCGCAAGCGACGGTCTCGCGCGGAAGCCACGGGCAGCCACGGTGCCCGCGGAGAGCAAGAGCAGGTCGCAGCCACCGACTATCAGGAGCTGCTTGTCATCCACGGGCGCGTCCACGGGCTCTCGCCGCACGCCGGCGGCGCACTGCCCCCTGGCGAGCGGTCGTCGTCGCCGAGGCCCCAAGAGAACTCCAAGAGGCCCCCAAGACGACTCAAGAAGCTCCATGAAGCCCCCAAGAGGCATCAAAACGGTCCCCTAAGCGAGAGGCCTCCCACCACATCCCAGCGAACATCCTAAAGGCCTACGACCCTCAACCCAAGCACGGTGGCAGGATTGGCCGAGGGCCATCAAATACCGATACCTCTAATCCCCGGCCCTCTCCCGCAGAGCATCCTGACCGGCATTGCGGAGAGAATCCAGCCGTGGTGACGAGGACTCTCCAGGAAGAGCAGCAATATCCTTGCCTTCTCCTGCTCTCCCCGCAGGCGCTGCTCCCCGTCACGTGGGCCCCTTGGGGGCGCCGCCAGCCGACAACCCGGCGGCCCGCGGCCCCGCCCGACTTTACTGAAAGGGCCCCAGGACACACAAACAAATACACACAAGTAAAACTACTCCCCATATTTCCCCATATTTTCGAGGTTTCCGTATTCCCCCCCCACTTCCCTTGCCCATATTTTCGGGGGAATGGACCATTACTTGTGTCTGTGTGTGTTTTTCCCCTCCCGACTTTACGAGAGCCGCGCCGCGCCTTGGCAACGCCAGGAGCGCCGCGCCCGCGGCCAGGAGGAAGAGCCCACAGCGCGCGGGGCGGCGCTGGGCGCCGCGCTGCGCGCGGCACGCCACCATGCCGCGGCGGGGGAGGGGAGGAGGGAGGACGGGGGGGGAGGATGGAGGGGGGAGAGTCCTCCTCCTCTCCTCCTCCTCCTCCTCCTCCTCCTCCTGCTCCTGCTCCTGCTCCTCCTCCTCCTCCTCCTCCTCCTTCCTCCTCCTCCCCTCCTCCTCCTCCTCCTCCTCCTCTCCTCCCCTCCTCCTCCTCCTCCTCCTCCTCCCCCCCGCCCCCTCCTCCTCCTCCTCCCCTCCTCCTCCTCACTCCTCCTCCTCCTCCTCCTCCTCCTCCTCCTCCTCCTCCTCCTCCTCCTCTTCCTCTCCTCCCTCCTTCCTCACCCCTCTCGCCCTCCCTCCTCCCTCCTCCCTCCTCCCTCCTCCCTCCTCCTCCTCCCTCCTCCCTCCTCCCTCCTCCCTCCTCCCTCCTCCCTCCTCCCTCCTCCTCCCCTCCTCCTCCTCCCTCCTCCTTCCCCCCCCCCTCCTTCCTCCCTCCCTCCCTCCCTCCCTCCTCCTCCTCCTCCTCCTCCTCTCCTCCTTCTTCTTCTTCTTCTTTTCATCCCCCCCTCCTCCTCCCCTCCTCCTCCTCCTCCTCCTCCTCCTCCTCCTCCTCCTCCTCCTCCCTCCTCCTCCTCCTCCTCCTCCTCCTCCTCCTCCTCCTCCTCCTCCTCCTCCTCGCTGGAGGAGAGTGCGGAGTGGCGGGAATGGGGGCTGGAGCGTGGCGGCGAGAGGACGGGGGGAGGCTGAAGGGGGGCGTCGGAGGGGGGGGGAGCGGGCGGGGGGGGAGGCTGGAGGGATAGAGCAGGGAAGGGGAGGATGATGGTGGGGGGGTGGGGTGGGGGGGGGGGGGGCGGAAGGAGGAGGGGGGCGGATGGGGGGAGGAGGGGGGAAGAGGGGGAGGGAGGAGGAGGGAAGACGAAAGGGGGCGCATCGGAATCGGAATGACAGCAATGGTTAGTTACTGCAGGGATCTGCGGGGGCGGTTCTGAAACGAAACACCCGCCTCCTCCTCCCTCCTCCTTCTCCTCCTCCTCCTCCTTCTCCTCCTCCTCCTCCTCCTCCTGCTCCTCCTCCACGGCGGCTGCGCCCCGCCCTGGAGCTGGGGAGGGGGAGGGAGAGGGAGGAGGGGGACAGGGAGGAGGCTTCAGCGCTCGAGGGCTACAACAATGAGCACTCTGGAGGGAGCGAGTGCAAAGAGGCACTCCAATGCTTTGAAAAGCAAGACGGAGGTTTCTCGCAATCGGCCATCGCTGGGAGAGAGGAAGCTGGGCCCACTCAGGGCAAGTCCCGGCGGCGGCAGGGCGGGTGCTAGGGTGGGGAGCCACCGGCGGCGCCGGGACAGCAGCAGGGGGGAGGCAGCCCGCAGGCAGCCGGGCGCAGGCCCAGGGGGGTGAAACCACGTCGAACTGGGAAGCGGTTGAGCACTGAGATCTTCTGACCTTCCAAGCGACTGAACAGCCAGCGATGACCACGCCAGATGGGGGGGTCGGACTCGTGGGCAGCGAGGCGGCTGAGCACTGAGATCTTCTGATCTGCCAAGCGACTGATCAGCCAGAGACGACCGTACCAAACGGGGGGTCTGAAAGGAGCTGGCAAGGGTCCAGTAACAGAGGCAGCGGGGACGCCGAGATCAAGTAACCTGCGAGGCGCGGGAGAGGGGGCGGGACGTGCGCCGAGGGGCCACGGCAGCAGAGCAGCAAACGCGGCCAGGCCGGGGGGGCAAGCGAGTCGGCGATAGGCCGGCCCGAAAACCAAGCAAAATTTGAGGGCCCGACCGCGGGAACGGTCAACGCCAGCCCGCCCTGAAGAGGACGGGGTAAAGAGCCAGGGCGGGAGCCGCAGGCGGTGTCTGGACAAAACCCGCAGAAAACCGGCGATCATACCTGCCGAGGCAGGGGATGCAGCGGCAGGGCGCGGCGCCGACCCGAGCGGGGAGCGGCGCCCCGGGGTGGCCAGAAGAGAAGCGCGCGAGACCCGAAGACGAGCGGCAAAACCAGTCCGCCAATAGCACGCGCAGCGGCCGCCGCCAGGGGGGGGGGCAGGGCGCGAGCAGCGCAGCGCGCCGCGGGGCCCGCGCGGCTGGCCCCGGGGCGCGCGGCGGAACCTTCGGCGAGAGCGCGAGCGCAGCATTCCCACAGATCTGAACGCATCATTTTTAATGAAGCATCGTGATATGCAACAAAAACTAACCAATTCAATTCACCAAAACCGATTCAAATCCAAAGAACTAATTCACGGGACGCTTAATTCAAAAAAACGCACTAGGGTGTGTGAATCGATTCTTGGGGCAGGAAAAACGTATTGGGCCAGTTGGAAACTATGACCACATCACGTAAACACGACTCGGTCGAGCACGAGTACTCGGCCCGTGCACATCAAGACGCGCCGGTAAAGCGCTACATTTGATCCGATGTGCATAGCTCCAAGGAGGCAGAGGAGGGAAGGTGAATAGGCAGGGGAGGCCAAGGAAAGCGGCGGGGCGTGCGCAGAGGGAGGTGGGGGTCGGCGAGCTTTCCAATTCCCTCGAGCTCACTGCCCCTCTGCGCGGAACGTCCATTTTTCAGTCGAAGCCCTGCCGCGCCTGGGCGGTAGTCTCCGTGCTTCGCCGATCAGCGCGGCGGAGTGAAACCCATGCTGCGCCGCTGACGTGCGCACGGATGAGCTTCGAAGGGTCTTCGGATCCGAGGAGGAGGAGGAGGAGGAGGAGGAGGAGGAGGAGGAGGAGGAGGAGGAGAGGCGAAGACGACGACGACGAGAGTCGACGAGGAGGGGGAGGAGGAGGACGACAACGAAGACGACGGGGGTTCGAGGAAAAAGGAAGGGACGAGGACGAGGAGGAGTCCTCCCACTTTCCTCCTTCATCTCTCCTCACATCGTGTGGATGGGTGGACGAGGTGGCACACGTGTCAGCGGCACAAACATGCACAAGGGCACCAGCAAATTGATTGCGAAGCACATGCACGGCTCAGCGTCATATGCCATAATTGTACAATGTGTCCATACATGCGTTTTAACACATAATCAAATCACATCATGATAAAACATTGATCATCACTATATACGCCGACACACTCCTACAGGCGATACTATATACATCGTACATGTATAAATATAACTGTGCTGACTTACGCTTGCGTCTACATACCCACATGTGTAGATGCGTAGTACGTATGATGTGTATGGTTATGAATGACGCTGTTGCCTACATGAGGACGCATTCAAGAAAGGACGTGTAGAACGTCTCTCCGTGGTGCAAAGCTTTTGCAACGGTGCCCATGCACCTGTTCTCCTGCTCGTCAGGATAAGCCCAGTATCGAACCGGGTTTCCGTTGGCTTTAGCCCGACGGATGAGTTCAAAGAACCCGTGAAACTTGTACACTTCGTGGCAACCAAAATCCTGCCAGCACCGGAGAAATTGCAAAGTTTTGTTTACAAGAGCTGTTGTGTGTAGCACTAGACAACTTCCCGTTGCGATGCCGCTGCATGATATTATACACCTCGGAAAGCGCATCGCACGCTAAATGCAGCAAGTGGCCTTTCTCCCCGAGGATTGACTTATATCATGTGCACAGTGTTGGGAGCAGTGGTACGAGCAGGCGCGTTTGCGCCGCCTTGGCCTTCAACCGAAGCGCGTCTCCATCTATTTGTTTCCACGTGAGGTGCTAGATGCGCGACAGGCCTTTCTTGTGAACCATCCGCATCTTATGAAACATCTTGAGTCTGCGGCGCAGATGCCGCATGTTGGCGGCTTCGCGGTCCTCTTTCACTGTCCGCGCAGATTGTGCAACGTTGTTCGCTGCGAGCAAATGTAGGACCATGCCAGCCGCGTATTGGGCGACGCCCAGATCTACGATATGCATGCCATCTAAATGGGCACATTCGACACCGAAACCTATTATTCTAAACCGCGGGCAAACGAGAGTTATGCCAACATCGGATTTCGAACCAAAAAAAATTAACAGCACGGGCGTGTCGAGCTCCAAAAGAGCATCGATATCTTGAACGGCATCAGTCTCTACGAGACGATGGCCTTTCTGAAGGTTGAGTTCTGGGAACTGCCCTTGAAGCGCAAAACCACCAGCGGCCTGATCGCGATCCATCTGGGCAACCAAACGTCGCATTTGATCACGATTGGCCACCATCCTCTGTGTCAAGGGTTCGAGCACGCTTCTGGCGTAGTCGGCCTGATCTCTCGGCCCCCACCTGCATCGGTTCATGGTTAAAGGCCAGTTGAACATGTCGCCCCTGGTGGTGCGGCAGCACAAGCGTGGCGCAGTTGGGTTCTGCCACCGCTTAAAGCCTAGAAGCGAACGCATTTCTAAACTATCGGCCCTGTATTCGCACAGGGCACCGCAGGTGCCCTGTGCAATCAAAAACCCACGGCGAGCCCATCTGAGCTCGTTTTTGAATGGCTCTCCGTTGTGGTCGTACTCAGGATGGCGTCCACGCGCTAACGCGTTCATGCTCCACACTACGACACTTAAAATGCATGTGAAAGTGCACCAGCCTTTACAGCCACATTCACACAAGTCTTTCTGGCGCACAAGCATATAAAAATATCACGCTGTAACTGTTTGCTCCATAAAGTTCAAGTATGTAGTTGTAATAAAGAGTAATCTAAAAGTGTTATAACTTAATTTCCGTTGGCGCGTGGACACACCGCCCGAAAGAAAGAAGATAGAAACAAAGGAGAATAAAAAAAAAAAAAAAAAAAAAAAAAAAAAAAAGAAGCTCTTCTGCCCATGCTCGAGAGTCGCGGGATGATCTGCGTAGGTGCTTGGCAAATCTCATTCGTCCATTTGGTGAGGAACACATCAGATTAAAACTTCTTCAGTGGCACCTGAGACCTCCTCGGACGCACGCCTGGGACCCCACGTGCTTTTCCAAGGGACCCATGGCCAGAAACCACTCAAAGCCACGTAAGTTTTTGTTCTGATGCGTCCCGCACGGGAGCCTGTGCGACGTCGAAGTCATCCGGGCTCTTCTCGAACTCTACACCGAATGACTCACGTGGCAAGCTGAGCGGAAACGGGCGCCACACCCGCCGCTCACCTTCAGAGTCCCACATGGGGATCTGGACGG